ATGAAGATAGATAGAAAATTTTTTTTCTTCCAGGATCTTTTTCATTTTTGTGGAGTATTTGTTTCTTTGCATTTCTTGCCTCATTTTTGGGATCACCTTATTATGCAACATCTGCTCTGAATTTCAAATGTGATAAACAGAGTATGAGTGTCGGTGGCAGATGGCTAATGACCAGCAGCGACAGGGCATTGAAGCCTGCCTTGTTTTCGGAGAAGCGATATTTTCATGTTAATTCGCTCTGTGTCCTGCAAAGATGAGACAAATCACCTGCTCGTAATTCAGGCAAAGTGGAGACCACCGGGAGCCGAGAGGGGCCAGGGCTTGATTCCTTTAGGGGTGAGAGGAGAGGAGGATCTGGGACTTTCCTCATCAGCAGTACAGGGACCAGTCAGTCACTTTGCATTATGTCAAATCAGGAAAGATAAATCAGCCCTGAGCATCCCATACTGACATCAGAGCCACTGTTTACTGCAAGCAGATATTATTCATGAAAACAGATATTTCCCAGAGGCAGAAAACAGGTGCTATTAAGAGGGCGTATTAGTCTCTGAAGTCTGGGTTTTGTAAAATAAACCTAATAGTACATTTTATCTCTAACTGAAAAATACTACAATCAACAGAAATCTCTAAGAAACATTCAATTGAAGATAAAATGAAATCTAATTCATAGAGAAAATGACTCACACAAACACATAAACCTTGAGTTTTTCTGGCTTTCTCAAGCTCTATAGAGTTCACTTATCGTAGAGATAAATAAATAAAATATAATTTGTATTCCAAGACTGAGCCATCAAAAGAGGCCATGTGGTCTTGAGCGAAAGACTGTGTTCTAGTTTAGAGAGCCTATTGATCATCTGTGTAACCTTTCAGTGCCTCAAATTTCTCTTTGTAAAACTATATTGCCAAGTTCATCAAATGTGTTAAGTGCATAGAATGTCCAAAAATGATACTAGGTTCTAAAAGAGCTTATAAGATAGTTGAGAAGCCTGATGCATTAAAAACAAAAACAAAAGCAAACCCATTGCGTCAAGTCGATTCCGACCCATAGAGACCCTACAGGACAGAGAACTGCCCCACAGGGCTTCCAACGAGCAGCTGGTGGATTTGAACTGCCAAACTTTTGGTATAGCAGCCGAGCTCTTAATCACTGTGCCACTAAGGTCACATAATAGGAAAGATAATTTACTACACAGGCAAGTCTAAGTGCCAAATTAGTGGGACAGTGAAAAGAGGACAGATATTACATTTTGAAAGTTTATACAGTAGAGTATTTTCCAAAGCAGTCTCTCTCCATATATTTTATTTAAATATGTATGTTTATATATATGAGGAGCCCTGGTGGTGTTAAGCGTTTGGCTACTAACCAAAAAGTTGGCAGTTTGAATCCACTAGCCGCTCCTTGGAAACCCTATAGGGCAGTTCTACTCTGTCCTATACGGTTGCTATGAGTTGGAATCGACTTGACAGCAACGGGTTTGGTGTACATACATACATTTGGTGTATATATATATCTGATGTATATAGTCAAATAACCATAGAAGGTATGTACTACATGCTTCTGTATGTACTTTCTCTCTTCTGTTATACTCTAAGGTCCTTGACAGCAGGCTCACACCTAATTCAACTTTGTATCCTCATAGTGTCTTAGCATATAACCCTCTCTGAACAGAGTAAATAATAAATACTTGTTCAAGAATATTCAGAAAAATCTTACGACAACAAAGTATTCTGTACAAAGAATCCATTTCTGTGTTTCCAATAGATTGTTCATAATAATAATCTTCCAGTTATTGAGAATTCCCATACCAAAAAACCAAACCAGTTGCTTCAAGTTGATTCTCACTCACAACAACCCCATGTGCTGCAGAGCAGAACTATGCATCATAGGGTTTTTAAGGCTGTGACTTTTTTCAGAAGCAGACTGCCAAACCTTTCTTCTGAGGTACCTCTGGTTGGGGTTCAAACTGCCAACATTTTTGTGAGTAGTTGAGTAGTTGAGTTAACCATTTGTGCCACCCAGGGACTCTGAGACGTCCCATAAATAAGCCTATACAACAACAATAAAATATATCTTGTCTCTGGTTATGTGGTTGAAAATTTCAATTAACCAGAACTCAACTAGCCCAAATCTCCCTCTTAACAGATTTCTGTCCTGCAGTACAGGTTTTAAAAATAAGTCAATCACAGGCACAAAAGATACAAGGGTTTATTAAAAATAAATTGGTATCAAATATAGATTCAGCCTAAAACCATATACTTTTATGGTTTTATCATGCTTTTAAATAATATTCATGTTTTTAATAATGACTTTTAAGCATCGCAAACCCTCAAATTATGATATCTATATAATTTATATATATAATATGAGATATATTATAATATTTAATGAGGAAGAAAAGTAGATTAGTATAACTCAGAAAATTAAAAAAAAAAAAGACAAAAACCAAAAGGGTCTTCTGGTTAGCCTTTATAGTAGTTAGCAAAAAAAATATTCAATTAACCATTAACATACAAGTTAATTGCCTGAAATATTTCAGTTGACCACGGTTTTATTTTACTATGAATACACTGATATACCATCAATCACAAATCTTAAATAACCAGAGTCCCTTGCTCCCACCTCCACCCCTACCAGCCCCCTATAGGATCAGTGGAGGTGCTACACTGATAGCAGAAGAAATAGAACAGCCTCCAGGAGAATCTCCTGTTCAACACAGAATGAAATGCCACTCCATCTCCCTAGAGAAAGATAAAAGACTCAGAAAAACTTTAACTTTTAATCAAGTCATCTTGTTAAAAAGCTTCTGGTACTAAGCACAACCCACCTCAACGCCAACCGTGGTCTAGTCACTCTCCCACTTACTTCCTCTCCTTCTTTACCTTACTTTGGTGACCATCCTTCTGCCTCTTCCTCTTCCTATCCTGCTCGCCCCTCCACCCCCATCTATAAGGACTCCACTGCTCCTACTCCTACTTCATTTCTGCTCTGGCCAGATCAAGCCTTAGTCTAGTACACCACTCTGCTTTGTCCATCAGTTTAACTACAGAGATACTTCTGCAAACGTTTCCACTCGGCAGAACTTCATGTGAAGTTCAAAAGATCTATAAAGGTGACAATACATAATATAAATATAAGGTTACCCTAAGTGTCCCTTATGTTTAAAATAAATGAACCCTCAAAACAGTAATTTTGAACTTAGCAATGTATATCAGAAAAAGTCAATGATTATTTTGATAGTTTATGCTTAAGTGGTTGGAAATCCCTTAAAAAATAATTTTGTAATAATTATATCTGAAGAGAGCTTGGGATTGTACCTTATTTATTGAGTACCTATGTGTATAAATCATTGTCCAAGGCACTGTCAGGACACAAAGATGAAAGAATATACGGGATATGTACATAAATAATCACAAAAAACACATTAAAAAGCTATGTAGAACAAGTGCTATAAGACCAATGAAATTACTTTCAGTTGTAAAAATTGATCAAATGGTATCTGGGTGAGCCTGAAAAATTTAGACAGCTAGTTATTGGATGGAGGGACAAAAGAGATGGCATGAGAAGCAGGGCCAGGGAGGTGGGAAACCACGGGCCACACTGGACAGCAGTGATTAGTGAAATATGGCCAGAAAGTAGAATATATGACAGTGAACATGTGACATGCCCTATGGGCTGAACATGGGGTTTTGGACAAACACATGGAGGAGAGAACTGAAGCCACAGGACTGGAACAGAATGTGCCAAAGGAAAGAAAGAGGGGTGGGGAAGAGAAGAGGGCCAAAAAAAAAAAAAAAAAAAAAAAAATAAACAAAAAAAAAAAAAAAAAAAAAAAAAAACCAAAAACCGTAACTAAGAAGACGTACATTTAGAGGGTCTTAATGTTCTTAAAAAGGAGCCTTGGTGGCACCACAGTTAAGTGCTTGGCTGCGAACCAAAAGGTTGGCGGTTAGAACCCACCCAGCGGTTTATGGGAGAAAGACCTGGCAACCTTCTAACATAAAGATTACAGCCTAGAAAACCCTATGAGGCAGTTCTACTCTGTTACATGGGGTCCCTATGAGTCAAAACCAACTCAACGACAACAACAATGTCCTTGAAACTACTCAGAAAGAAATGGGAATAATGTCAACCACCATATTCTTTCAGGAAAGCCAAATGGAAAAAGTATACCCTGTATTAGTCTAAAATCAAAGGAATAAATCATTCAGTATGTCAAATTCTAATCATCATTCTATATGTCAAACGTATCAGTATTAGGGAACACCATCTAGCTATTACTAAAAGACATTTCTTACTCTGTTCAGAAAATCAATTATTTTCAGCTACAATGCCTATCTAAAAGGATGCTGAATTATATAATTCATTTCTAAACAATGAATGATAAGTTGGGGAATCTGTTTAATTAAGTTACCTAATTCAAACATACAAAAAGGTCTTCATGAAAACCTGCACACCATGCGCACAGATTTAAAAGATCTACTGGGAAGTTGAATTAAACAGAACACAAGTAAGACCAACAAAACTTTATAAGCAGCTTTTTCTATTAGACCATGAGAAAGAAGCTGAAGTCAATACGGTGCATCTAGGTTGCTGGCCTCTAAGGGCAGAAAGTGCGTCCTAGTCATCTCTGAATCCCAAGAGCTTGGCATAGTACCTGGCACTTATGCCTCCCATAAACATTTTATGAATGAGAAAAAATGAAAGAAGAAAGGCTTACCAACTGGTATTTCAGATTTATTCAAAAGATGCACGGATGCGTCCTAGAGTCAGTATACAATTATACAATGTACTTAAAATGATGTTTCAATTTATGTCTTCCAGACACCATGAACCATCAGAAAAAGACTGAAATATACATACATACACACACACACACACACACACACACACACACACACACACACTATGCTTTCTAAGATTAGGGCAAGATAATGTACAAATAGGTATTTTACAATCATTTTAATATGTATAAAAACTAAAAGGTTTTTTCCCTTGGCCCTAAAATTAATTAACTAGCATATATCCCATTCATTGAACATTCCACTTAGTTGATATTTTTATTTATATATTTGAGCTTCAAAGGCTCTATTTCTGGCACCTTTCCTAAGGAAAGAATTCCATTACTAAAAAGATTACAGTAGTGTGGCTGCTTGAACAGGCACAAAGATGATTCTTGGTACCTTTATGGTTTCAGTGGGCACTCCAGGCTCCGGAACCTTATCCAAGTAAGTGGTCAAGTCTTGATCAACATGTTCAAACACTAATGTTAGTTTGGTTTCTCTGTCTGTTCGTGACACTGTGCATACATCAAATAACCTAGAAGGAAAAAGAAAGAGACATTAAGTAAGTGGCAGTAAGCAAAGAAGTAACTTCTATCGTTTATACATGGCCCTCAATTTTACCACATAATAGGGGGAAAAAAAGATCAGTGTTGATCATTTTTTGTGATCTTATACGAAGACACCTAATGGTATCTGACACTTTAATAAGAATGTTCAGGAGAGGAGTGCTTGATGCCCTTGGTTAAGTGGCGATGACACCTCTATTAGCAAAGAGAAAGCAACAGGACCGGGGCACAACAATGCTTGCTTGGACAGTTTCCTTGGTGAAGATCTTAGGTAGGACTGCTGATAGATAGTTTTTAAAACTGTAGTCTAGATAAAATATGCTGCTTCTTAGCTTGTAGTTTGAAGTCATTAAAGAGACAAATTGAGCATTTTTTTTGAGATGTTGGAGTCTGCAATGAAGATTTTCCTGTAATTTAAGGTGTTATAATCACGCCTGTGAAAGTAAGTATGATGGAATATAAAGAAATTTCATCCTGTTATATCAAATTATTTCCCTGGAAAGGCATACATTCTTAATTAGTTTCAAAATTTCAAATGCCATGCCAATCAAAACTGTGGAATTTTAACATTTATTTTTTGAGGGGCAAAAAGCCCTCCATTAGTAAACCGTATCGTTCTTAGATGATAAAGAAACAAACATTAAAATTAAGTTTGGATGGGAAAATCCAATTTCTTCCATAAACTCTCACAACTAATTCAAAATTGAAGTTTTAAAAACAAAGCCTTCAGCAGTCAAAAGACTTTTCAAGCCAAATGGCAAATTTTCCTTCAGTTTCAGCCACAGCACACTGTCTGCTACATGAGATGCTCACAAATGTGCGACGAATTAAATAAGCCAGTCATAAACAAGTTGTAAGTAAATTTCTTGACCAAGAATGCAATGTAAATACTAAGAAAAGATTAATAATATGCTATTTATAGTATTTTCTTTCTTTCTTTTTTTTTAGATAGGGATTGCATTATATCTATAGATTGCTTTGGGTAGTATTGACATTTTCACAATGTTAAGTCTTCCAATCCATGAGCAAGGAATGTTTTTCCATTTATGTAGGTGTCTTTTGGTTTCTTGTAGTACTGTTTTGTAGTTTTCCTTGTATAAGTCTTTTACATCTCTGGTTAGATTTATTCATAGTTATTTTACCCTTTTGGGGTCTTTCTTTTTTTTAACCGAATAAACACCCTCTTCAAAGAAACTAACTAACTCATAGCGACCCTATAAGACAGAGTAGAACCTCCCCATAGGGTTTCCAAGGAGCGGCTGGAACCACTGCACCACCAGGGCTCCACTTTGTATATTAGCTCCGTTAAAATTTTAATATCTAGCTGTTTCACCATGTCACCCAACTACATTTCTGGGCTATTGCATTTGGTACTTCTCTGGAAATCTAAACTAAACTTTATAATAAGCTAAAGAACACTATAAGCTAAATCTACTTCGGAGGCAATTCAGAACAACAGACCACCAATTACCACACACACAGCCAGGTCCAAACTACTGTTTAATTATGAGTAATTTGGTTAAGTTCTACTACTTCATTAAAATCAGTTAAAATCAAATGAATTTTTCCCTTACATGCATCTACTTCCACATACTCTGATTTCTAAATTTAAGCAATTACTTTTAAACTTATTTTTCCCCTAACGTAATTTATTCTAGAGTATTAGTCTGACAAAGTAAAATCTTCTAATTCATAAATTTAGGAAAGATAATGCCATAAATCATTTTAGTCCCATGCTACTGAAAAAAAATATGATTGGTATCATAAATGGATTTGACACTTGGACAGTTTATCAAAACAACTCTTTCAACTTGGTAATTCTAGATAACTACCATTTATTCATAGGCTCTTTGAGCAGTTTTCTTTACAAAAAATTCAAATACTTTGACAACTTCACTTTTTTTCCTCCTTTTTCACAACCACCAAGCTTCTTTATTATCTGCTGCCTCTATTTTTGTAATAAAATAAAACAGCAATGAACCAAAAATGGCATGTACTAAAATCAAATACGAACCCAGGAACTGGGTCATACTACGCACTAATACCACTGTGCTTCTTAAATGTTACTTTAAAAGTGTTTTCCATTATAATTAATACATTTCCTCAATGAAAAAATACATTGTTCACCACTGCCTGGGGTCAACAATGATTTTAACAACTTGGATTCTTAGTGTATTTATAGTTTGCTATACACATATGTATATATGCATATACATATATATATGATGTTTTAGTTAATTTCCAAAAGAAAACAAAGCTGACAAGGACATAACTGGAGAATGATCTTAAAACACTGCTGAACCAAAAGGCCACCTGTTTCCCCAAACTGTTGTCTTAGAAGTTACCTAACAGTCCTGGCAGTATGCTATGTTGCTTCATCTCACTGAAACCGTTTTCAAGCACTCTTTCTATGACACAATTCAAGAATAACATTTAACACACCCAAGTTATTTTCCTCAAAGTTTTATCACTCTCTTCAAAATATTAAGACTCACTAATGCCACCTGCAGCAACTGTACTCCACACTAGCTTTCAAAGAATGCTTGAGATATGTAAAGGCGAGCTCACTGAAGCCGCTAATTGCCCTAAATGATAAGCCATGGCGAAAGAGCACTAATTTTAATTGGCAATGTTTAAAACGTGGAATTTTAAAGAGACACGCATGACAGTGCATACAGAAGAACATTCTTGTGTGAATTTTAGTGTATAAAATTACATACTCTCCTAGGCTACAAAAAGAATGCTGTTAGGTAGAAGTGGTCCATTCTGGTTCAAGAAGGTAGTAATCCTTTTTATTTTTTTAAGATGTCTTTTAAATTACATTAGGGAAATGGAGTGTTTCACATTCTTCTTGGAGAGTCCCAAGTCACATGAAGGGGAGTAAAGGTCCTAGGAGAACCTGTAGGACACCCCCATTTTTGGCTCCAGTGAAGGTCATCAACATCATATAGGTCCAGTATTCCATGGAAGACATTTTGGGAAACACTGCTCTACACTAAAAACTATGAAATTTTGTCTGACCGAATTTGTTTAATAAACATTATCATAGTAAAAATTAACAGTTCTATTAGTCATAATGAGTAATAAATGCATTTTGAATAAACAGTTGTAAATATTAATTCAAGCCTTGATTTGCAATATTGAAGGATTCTAAGGGCAAAAAACTGAACAACACAGGAAGCAACAAAAGAAGATGGAAGGAATACACAGAATCACTGTACCAAAAAGAATTGGTCAACATTCAGTCATTTCAGGAGGTAGCATATGATCAAGAACCGATGGTACTAAATGAAGTCCAAGCTACACTGAAGGCACTGGCAAAAGATGAGGCTCCAGGAATTGATGGAATACCAACTGAGATGTTTCAATAAAAGGTGCAACACTGGAAACGCTCACTTGTCTATGCCAAGAAAATTGGAAGACAGCTACCTGGCCAACTGACTAGAAGAGACCCATATTTGTCGCCATTCCAAAGAAATGTGATCCAATGGCACGCAGAAATTATCAAATAATATCATTAATATCACACAAGTAAAATTATGCTGAAGATAATTTAAAAATGGTAGCAGCAGTACATGACAGGGAACTGCCAGAAATTCAAGCTGAATTCAGAAGAGGACGTAGAACAATAGGTATCACTGCTGATGTCAGATGGATCTTGGCTGAAAGCAGAGAATACAAGAAATATGTTTACCTGTGTTTTACTGACTATGCAAAGGCATTCAACTGTGTGGATCATAACAAATTATGGATAACATTGTGAAGAATGGGAATTCCAGAACACT